ATTATTACTGTAAGTTTGTTTTTGGGAAAACGAAACAAAAAAAATGTTGGGCTTGTAAGCTTTAGATGTTAGTGATGGGAAAAAATAAACGAGTTTAGAAGCAAACTATACTTGTTAATAATCAGTAACAAACATGGGTTTTCACTACATTAATTAATTAATTACATGGTTTATTTTCTTTACTTTAAAAGCCTGTAGTTAAGAATACTTTTTTAAACCTTACAAACTTGACTTCACTTGTTACTGTTTTATGAGGTAAGTTTATGGGGCTAAATTTGACATGCCTATCAGTACCATGTACAAACAAAGACATGATAAATTAAAGATTATAGAGCTCACGGTTTGATGAAAAGCATTTAATGCTTTATCCTAGAAGTGTTCTATGGACGAAATAACATGGGAAGAACAAAGTAGCAAATATACGTATAACAATGCAGGTTACTTTCCCCCAGTGGCACAGAGGTATATGTGCGGGTTTATACCGCTAGAAACGAGTTTCGACACCCGTGGTGGGCAGAAAACAGATAGCCCTTTGTGTAGCTTTGTGCTTAATATCAAACAACCTTACCTTTTAAAAAGTTTGAAGAAAAACTAGTTAATTTTGAAACAGAATCCTTTAGTTACAGTTAGAAATGTATTATTTAATCGTATCAATTATTTTATTGTTATTTTCTGCTATTACCATTAAAGGTCCTATTATTCTAAAAATTTCATAGATAGTTATACATACTGACCAATTTCAAAACACCATCATCTATCAGTTGAGCGAAATTTGTCACTGATTTTACTCTTACGTCACAAGCCCTCCAGCGGCACAGCGGTATGTCTGCGGACTTACAACGCTAGAAACCGGGTTTTGATACTCGTGGTGGGTAGAGCACAGATAGCCCATTGTGTAGCTTTTGCATAACTTCAAAACAAACAAACAAACTTACGTCACAAATATTTTTTTTTTTTTACATACGCTTATAAACTTGTGTTATCTTTGAAACTGGGTTTTATTTATATTTTACAAAATCACGTCACAATATATGAAATTGTAAAATGAATACGTGACTATCAAAACCCAGTAATCATATGGATTAGATGAAGTAATCAATTACTTTGAACTTCTCAACACATTAAAATATTGTTTCCATTGCTTGTTTGTAACTTGATGAAATGCTCAGTTCAGTTAAATGTTGATTAAGTTAGGGTCAGCGTGTCTCAATGACTTCACTTTTTGGACTCGTAGTCGGATGGGTACGAATTCGGGAGTGGCCCATGTCATGCTGTTGCGTCCTTGAGCAAGACTCTTTACCCCACTTGTTTCAGTTTACCCAGCTATATGATAACGGAGTTTGAAAGCACTGGCTCTATGTGCATTGTAAAGGCACAACAGTGATTTATCGTTTTAAATTACGATTCTTACACGACAGAGTTTAATAACCTTATATATATCAGAACTACACCATCTATGAGACTGTACATTTCACCTACTTTGTCAAACCATCATCCATATCATCTTTATCTTTCGTCATAGACCCGTACCCACTGTATCTTTTAATCGTTTTAATTACAAACTTGCAAATACGAGAAAGTGTAATATAAATATATTTATCAGGAAGTGGATATGTATATTACGTATATATATAGCGAAACCACAGCCAAGTGAATGGTTTTGGTAAATCTTCACGAGGAAGCAGAAACATATGTTACTTTACCTTTATCAGAAACCAGCGCACCCGGAATTATGTAACATTCTTATCATTTAATAAAGGGGGATTTCGCCGGGAGTAAAGACAATTGAAACCTATGCTCTTGGAATTTTGTTTCTTATTTAAATACCAACTAATATTTCTCTTAATTTGTTAGAAATACTCTCATTAATTTCAACATATGTTTGACAATACAGTAAACTTCGGTCAATTTACTTAAACTAGCATAAAATACCCACGCTTCGCTGCGGGGTTCAAAGAAAAATTATCTCATGTACCGATTAGGCTCCTCCATTATCCCCAATTACTTCTATAGCTTCTCCAAGGAGGTCCATGTCCAATAAAAAATCTGATTATATTAAACGATAAGAAGCTCTATATTTAGGTCAAAGCTACACAATGGGCTATCTGCCCACCGCGGGAATCGAATCCCGGGTTTTGGTGTTGTAAGTACCTAAACGTACTGTTGACTCACCGAGGAACAGGATAAGAAGCATTTGACTTACTTAAGCCTTAATAGCTTTTGTTCTTAATTACTTTATTTAAATGTACTAATATATTCTCTGCTTTTTCTAGATATAATTCAGGTTGTTTTGAGAACGCCACCCAGTGGCACAGGTCTGAAACTTATAATGCTAAAAACTGGGTTTCTATGTCCGTGGTGGGCACGCACAGATAGTTCATTATGTAGCTTTGTGCTTAAAAACAAACAAACAAATATTTTGAAAATACAATAGTTAACATACATTAATTTGTTTAGTTTGTGCAGTTATGTACTTGATTGTTAATGCTAGGCTAGTCGTGGTTTTCTTCTTTGTTCTGTTGCTAAGGGTCGAGCAGCGAGTAACAGTCTGGTTCTCCACTTATATATATTAAAAGTGCATTTAAATTTTATTTGCACTGAGAATTTGGTTTAAACAAATGATACAAAATAATAGCAATAACTAATTAAATAAAGTAAAATAAATAAATAAATTGATTAATAACTAAATAAAATATGCGAAAAATAGCAGTATGTAGCTGCCGCAGGTTACCTTACAGTGAGAGGTGGTTCAAAATTAGGTAACAGCTTCACATTACCTGGCGCACTGACAAATGCGCTGCGATAGGACTCCAAAATTGGGGGTAGATGAACCTGTGCTTTGGCTGGTGCTAAAAACTCCTCCAGCATGCAACCATAACCATTTTTCAAAGGCCAGCACATACGAAAACAAGTACCATAAATGTAGTTTCTAACAACAACAAGCTTCCACTAAAATGTTTACTTTTTTATCTTTTCTATAAACCATCACGTAAAGGACTATGTAATATTATTTTTATTAGAAGTCAGAAACTTTATTACCGCAACTGTCCAGAAGGCTGTAATATTATTGTCCTTCATTCCCATTACCTCGTCACTAACTGATGTTTCTCAGTATTTCCACCAGAGATATGTAGACCGCATTTATTAAGCTGTTGTTGGTGTTGGTTGATTTATTAGCCCAAAACTACACAAGAGACTATCTGCGTGCGCTCTCTCTCTCTTTCACAGCGGGAAATCGAACCACGGATTTTAGAATTGAAAGTTCGGAAACTTACCACTGACTCTTATTGTTTGTTTGCAATTAAGTACAAAGATACATAATGGGCTATCTATGCTCTGCCCACAACGGGTATCGAAGCCCAGATTCTAGCGTTGTAAGTCCGCAGACATACCGTTGTGCCACTGGGGGGCACCACTGACTCACTGGGTTGATGATTTTTGTATTTTGCTTAGTTATTCTAAAGCAAAACCACATTGGACTATCTGCTGTGTCCACTGCAGGGAATCGAACCCCGGATTTTTGCGTTGTAAGTCCGTAGGCTTACCGCTGTCCTATCAGGGGACTTAAATAATGACAAAATAAAAGCGAAACATTTTATGCTCATTTACAAAATAGCCAAGCTAAACCCACTGTTTGTTTTCTGAGAATTTGAAATTTCTTATACTTGCAAGAAACAATATAATTATATATAACGTCATATTACACAAAAGATACATAGGAGATGGTTTTTTCCTCCCCTTGTGAGAAATTAAAAATCTGATAAACTGGGACTGGGGTCTGATTGCATCCTTATTTTTCAGATTAGGATTAAGATTAATGAGTTAAATTTCTAGAAATCCCAGATAACTTTATTTTCTAGATTTCGTGATAATCTATAATAATTATGCGCATGCGTAGTTCCAGTGTTTAACTGACTGCATATTTACTTATATTTTAATCAGTAACCCTGCAGGTTGGATATATACTTCCCCCCTTCCTTATTGAAGGATATTAACATCTGAATCAATCATTTTGGAGCACGTAAAATTGTAAAGTTCAGGTAAATTCGGTGATAGTTTTGTTGTTTTTGGAAAGTTGGAGGACAATATTTAGACGAAAACTTTAATTTTGTCTTCTTATATTAGTTGGATACTCTTTTACACTATACTTTTGTGTTTGTTTTTTTTTTCGTTATTTTTATTAAGGTTGAGCGGGAAAGGACTGATTTATCTGTTCAGCTGATGCAATATGCCGATCGACTGGAGGAAGCCGAAGGAAGCAGTGAATCACAGGTAAGTGTTCCTGACAAATTATTAACGTGTTTAACACTGTGATTTTATTTCTCTCAATGAATTACATTTCCAAATAAGTATCATGTAACGTTGACCCGTGAAAATAATTTTGTCGAATTATTCCACTTTCGTAATGACACTCATAAACTACTTTATTCCTCTTCGCTGATTCTTTTATATTATTAATGATTAATTTAAGTTGGAGGAACACAAAAGCACATTTATGGACAGTACTGTTACAGTTGTCTTCTGTAAATATTCTCCGTTTTCAGATCGAAATGAATAAAAAGCGAGATGTAGAGCTGTCTAAGCTGCGAAAACTCTTGGAAGATACGCATTTGGAAAGTGAAGAAAATGCCCATTTACTCCGCAAGAAGCACCAAGAGGCCATCGCAGACTTTCAGGACCAGCTCGATGGTGTTCAGAAAGCTAAAGCTAAGTACGTCATTCGTTCTATACTGTTATTTTTGTTTCGTAAAACAAGCTTTCACCGGTAAAAAAAAGTACTTTATTTAACAATATGCTGTTTCAGGACTAGATGTATTAGCTACAAATACCGACTGAGGTAACATAAGAAGGTGTTTTCCAAGGAAGTAATAACAAGAAAGTGTTTTAGTTAACAACACCGTTCCAACTTCCAGGACAAGATGTATTAGCTACAAATACCGACTGAGGTAACATAAGAAGGTGTTTTCCAAGGAAGTAATAACAAAAAAGTGTTTTAGTTAACAACACCGTTCCAACTTCCAGGACTAGATGTATTAGCTACAAATACCGACTTACATAACATTAGAATACACTTAACAGAGAAAAAATAAAATAAAAAGCTGCTTTAGTGAACAATTCCGTTTCTGCGCTGGATGCTTTAGCTACAAATACTGACTCATATAGCATCATAATATACTTTACAGGAAAATAATAAGAAAGTGCTTCAGTTAACAATACCAATTCTACAGACCTGGAACCTTTATCTACAAATAACTACTTAGATAACACTAGGAAATACTTTACAAAAATAGATTTCGAATAACTTCAGAATATATTGTACAAAAAAGAAGTTTTTGATAACTTAAGAATATTTTCCGTATAAGAAAACACTGTTTCAGATTACTAGAATATGTTTCAAGTAGTAAATGCCGCTTCATGTGACTTGATATGTTTAAAGTAAAAGACTTATGTTATATAACTTCAGAGCATCTTTTACAGACATTTTATATATCTTAAGAAATTAATGTTTCACATTCATATGATGGATAGTTTGTTTTATGAAAATAACAGTTTCTTTTAATATAATTTATAAGTTGATTTATTAAAAACTATAGTTTAATAAAACTAACGTCTAAGAAAAACTTTACTTAGAAGGTTGTTTAATACAAAACAATGTCTCAGATAGCTTCATGTGGTTTAATAAAACTAACGTTTCAGATAGCTTCAGGTAAAAGTTAAGTCAATAAAAACTGATATGTCAATTTGAATAAAAATAATGTCTCATAAAACCTCAGAAAATCTTTTATCTTTCTTCACATATTAATACCAACTTTTAAATGTCGTATGATGTCGATCATTTGTGTCGAGTTTTCAGTGATTGCCTTATTTGAAAATTTTATATCTCAATTATTACCGATGTGAAATTATTCCCGATTATTTTTATAAAATTGCACAAAAAATAAGCTAAATCAGATAGGTGTTTTTGTTTTGTTTTTCTATTTTGAAAAATTATTTACTCCTAAATCTCGCATCTAACAACTAAACATACATAAAAATATTAACATTATGCTGTAAAGGTTAACAAAGAACGAATATATCAAGTACTGATGAGAATAAAAAATAAACAAAACAGTATTAAACATGATAAAACAATAAAAGACTATACTAAAAAGCTTAAAAGGCAAATGTGATGCTCGCTACTGAAATCTCATAAAGATCAAAGACACTCCATACTGTAGAGGTTAAAAAGGAGGTGGTCCAATCTGCGCTAAAAAGAATAAAAGAAAAAAGGCACACGTTGCACTAAAAGCCTTAAAAATAAATTAATTAAAAGTATGTTGTCTCTTCGTTTAACGTTGTGACACTCTCGTGCACAACAACAACAAAATTAAGTCGTTTAATATGTTAATTATTTCAAAAAGTTGGAACAATAGGTCGAAGCCTCACAAGTACCAGGTTCGTGGTTGGCATCAAGTGTGCGTGACGTCATTTGAAATACCTGTATATTTTAATTAATTCAAAATACATTAAATTTACAGAAATATTAAGATATAAACATTACCAATAATAAAATGTATGAATCAAACATAGCTTAATGAGGTGAAGTTTCTGACTTGTGTATATATATAGTTTCACAACTATGACCTAGCCTTGAGTGCTTAATAACGAGTTTCTCGCTTTTTACAGGATTGAGCGAGAAAAGCAAAAGTTCCAAGCTGAGGTGTATGAACTGTTGGCTGAGGTGGAGAGTGCAAACAAGGATAAGGTAAGCGTGATGCTCGAACAATGAAGAGAAGCAAGAAATATTGTTTTTGTTTTTTAATTCGGTAAGAAATTATCATATCATTCAACCTGGATATGCGAAGTTGTAATTTATTATTTCAGGGTCCAATTCCTTTGGTTTATATTATTTAATTCGATTTTTATCTCTGTAGAGTTAAGCTTGTGAACTTATCACTACTGTAGATGTGAAAGGGTGAAAATAAATGTCTGTAGTATTGAAACCCCCACCCCAGAATATTCACAGTCCACAACATACCCACTTGTTCTTACCATTACAGCTTGCATCACTGAAGACCGTGGAGAAACTCGAATACAGCGTCCACGAACTGAACGTCCGTATAGAGGAGCTGAATCGATCATTAACTGAGGTGACGTCACAAAAGTCCCGCTTAAGCTCCGAAAACATTGAGCTCATCAACGAAGTTCAGGAGTATAAGGTGTCTATTGAGAATATCACTCATATCAAAACACAGCTGGCTACTCAACTTGAGGACACAAAACGCCACTTGGAGGACGAAGAAAGGGTAAGCTTCTAATTATTGTTTAGATTTCCAAGAAACAACTTAATTTGAAAGCAAACAAATAAGATTTAGTTTGTGATGCAATAATTTTATTTCAATCTTCGAAGACAATGCAAGTTTGTCTTAACATTTTCAAACATGATTAAGTTCCAGACAGAAGAGGTCAGAAGATATAACACTACAAATATTTCTTTTGTTTTTTTTTAATACGTGACGGAAAAGTTCAAATAAAGTACTCAATTCTATGTAAAACAAGCTATAGATTAAAAAATGCTATAAAACGAAAGAAAACTTGTTCTTTAAGAAAATTATCATAAGTAAAACAACATTTGACTCAATAAACCTTCTTAACAGAAACGATCTTCTCTTGAGCAACATGTTCATACAGTAGAGATGGAGCTTGAATCTCTCAAGGTCCAGATTGAAGAAGAATCAGAATTTCGCTTGGAGCTAGAGCGACAGCTAGCTAAAGCAAATGGCGAAGCTTCCACGTGGAAGTCCAAGTATGAGACTGAACTTCAATCTCACCATGAAGAGGTTGAGGAACTAAGGTGAGTCGACGTGTAGTCTATGAGTCATCTAAACATTTCTCATCTTCTAAGTTTGTTTTTGTTTCAGGTTTTTCAAAACATATTATTCTTGCAATATATGGTTAAAAATACAAAAAATATTTAATTTTGTATGTGTTTAGTACTTGACATATTTATCCTAAAAAAGAAACTATATTAACGTCCTTTTAACGACCATTAAAAATTTACTTTTTTTGAGAGAGAGAGAGTTTGTTTGTTTATGGCAAAGCTACTAAGGCTATCTGCCGCTTTCCATAATTTTGAACGGACGACCGTAGGGAAGCAACTGGCCAGAAGCACCCACCAGCAACCCTTGGGCTACTCTTTATCAACGACTTGTAAATTGACCTTCACATTATAATGCACCCATGGCAGTACGTTTGGCGCCGGACTTTGATCCTGCGACCCACAGATTGCAAGTTGAGCACACTAACTAGATCACACCCGGCCTTTGAGAGGGAGAGAAAGGTAGGCCCCCGATGGCTCAATAGTAATTTTCAAGATTATAACGCAAAAATCCTGAGTTCTACTCCTGTGAGGGATACAGCGCAGACAGCTCATTGTGTAGATTGGCACTGAAACAAACAATTATTTTCGGGTTAAATTACAAAGTAAGAAAAATTGGAAGAATTTAAATCCATAGCTGTTTAAGCTCCAATTATTGGCAATATCTATTATGGCAGTAGGAGTCAATGCTTAATATGTAATGTGAGATTTCCAAAACAATTAAATTATACATCGTGCTATTAGCTTTATGATGTTTTGATACATTCGCTACCTTTTCGAAACTGTTACTTCGTTTGCTTAAGACAGAATAATAGTTAACATAATGTATAAGTGTAACAGGTGAGCCCAGTGAAGGGTCCATGTTTGGGTTCGACTTTTCTCTCGTTACAAATGAATTTATTTAAAAATTTAGGAAGACAGTCGTGTGTGTAGCTGAGTGAGCACACAGGCTACCAACTAGAGCAATTTACATTAGAAATAAAGAGACTGATACAGATTTTGATAATACAACAAAAAAAACCATACTTTGTTCAATCTCCATATCCAAAATATCTGAATATTCATTAATATTGAAAGCATTGCAATTGTCTTGAAATACTTCTACATCAAACATATCAAAGTCTTCATTCCGCTCATGTAATTGCTCATTAATTAAACCTTCTATAAGATACATTAATTCTTACACTATAGTAAGTAAATTATTCAATAAACTACTATGATTGCGTGAAATATGTTCAGACATCTTCCTTAAAGCTTCTTATAAGTGAACTTTCCTTCAATATTCTAGTATTTCATACAGAGAACCTTATATAGTAAACGTTGTTAGAGTAGAGAAGGTAACGTTCGATACTTACACAGAGTTTGTCTGCTGAAAATGGTGAAGTAGTTGTAAAACGGTCATCTTCTTCTTCTTCTACGGGTATAAAGTAGCCTGACTTATCGATTTATCAAGTAGAATTACATATCCAGTCCACAAGCAGGTCCTTCGTCTAATTAGTTTAATTATTCCGGTTCATTGAACCCAAACCAAAACTTGGATATGGTCAAAAGCTATTAACCGGCTGCATATTTACGGGTATCTCTCCTTTTTGTTTATCAGTTCACATCTGTATTAATGTAGGTAACATAAACTTTTCTGTAGCCCTTCTTTCTGCTACGATCGCGTCTGTTTATACAGACAAGACGAACCGCTGATATCGCAATGTGGAAACGCATCTCAGCCAACATGTATATCTTACTGTAACAAAAATATTTCCTTATTTGGATAATCTTCTGTAAAAAGCGTCTATTATACACTTGTTAATGTGCAAATCCTTTCTGCAACTACCACGTATGTATGGAATACATAGAAAAGTCCATTTTGTCTCCTAGAAGCATTTGTAGTTTCAATAAAATGCCTCAAATGCTCCATAAGCTATCAGTTTACGTTTTTATTTTTGTAATAATTTCGGCTGAAATTAGCATATATGGAGTTCCAGTTAAAGAGGATTTATATTATTAACTGGTCAAATAATTTCAGTATTGTTATTACAGTTTACAATTAAATATTTGAAGCTAATCGCTCTTTCTGTGACCTCTTAGTTTATGCTATCTGAGTATGAGTTGCGCGATATTCATGTGGATACCAACTTTCTGTTTCTGTTCTGATAGACGTAAAATGATCGCCAAAACTGCTGAATACGAAGAACAGTTGGAATCCCTTCTGAACAAATGCAGCAGCTTGGAGAAACATAAGTCTAGACTACAGAGTGAAGTGGAAATATTAGTAATGGACTTAGAAAAGGTAAAAACACGTTACATTTTTGAGTTATACGCATAAGTAAAAATAAGTTTCAAACAAATGAATTTTTCTTTTTTATACACTAAAGAAGAAGATAACTCAAAATAGAATTTCACATCCGTTCCATTAAGGCACTGAAATATTTCGATAAATATTTCCAAACAGTGATATTGAGTAAAAAAACTCAAATAAAAGTATTTTATGGTAGAGCTTTTAAAGGGGGCAGCGTAGAATCTGTAGTTTTTACTGTTCACTAGCAATGAATTTGTAATGAATGTATTTTAGATCTATCTGTGATTCTAAACCACTCTGAATACTCTTAAGCATAACAAAGTTTTATGCAGCCATATATAAAATAAATAAAGTACCTGTATAGAGTGGTAATAAGGTTATTTTGGGTTTTATGCAGCCACATATAAAATAAAATAACCTTATTACCACCCTATACAGGTACTTTATTTGGGTTTTATGCAGCCACATATAAAATATATAAAATAAATAAAGTACCTGTATAGGGTGGTAATAAGGTTATTTTGGGTTTTATGCAGCCACATATAAAATATATAAAATAAATAAAGTACCTGTATAGGGTGGTTATAAGGTTATTTTCGGTATTTAGAACATCGTGTAGAGTGAATCATGTGGCCTACATTCCAAATATTTTGTGTGTGTTCTTGAATACGAGTTGCATTTAAACTATTTTTGGAAAATGACACCAGGGTAGTTGCTATAGAAGATGTTTTACCATAGTTTCCGATTGCTAAGACAATGATAAAAAAATGGCATTGGACATCGCAGATATAACATCTCCCTAAGTGGTCGTGATTTCCAAGCATGGTGGAAGTCAGCACGCTTCCCTGCCCTCATCCCCTGCTAATTACTGGTTATTGGACTTTCTGGAGAAGTGAATTTATCACCCTAACCCTGTGACAGAGGTTCAGGCGTCCTAGGAAAATGGTATGTTTTGCAGTATCCATTATCATTGTCAGAGTGGATTGTCAATAATCAAAAATGGTGGTAAAAACATTGAAGTTGCTATAGTAGCTCCCCTGGTGTCATTTTCTGAAAAGAGTGAAATGCGCCTCTTATGCAATAACACAAAATATTTCGCCTATTTGCTACATGGTTCGTCCTATACAGTCTGTTTCAAATAGCAACACTGACTTTATAGCTACCCTGTACTTCCACCATTAAAAAAGCAAACTCACTCTGTATTTTTTTACGTTATAGGCTACTACGCATGCTCAAAACCTTGAGAGGCAAGTGACTCAGCTCGAGAAAGTGAACATTGACCTCAAGTCTAAGAACGAAGAGCTCACTGTGATAGTGGAACAAACTCAGCGAGAACTGCGAATTAAAATCGCCGATCTTCAAAAGTTTCAATATGAATACGATAAGCTGAAAGAGGTGAAAGAAAACCTTGTGCGAGAAAACAAAAAACTGGCGGGTACGTTCTGTATAGACATTCGAATTTTTTCTAGATCATTTCCACATATTACACTCGTCTAAGTTACAGAAGAAATTATGAGTTTGAATATTGTTTGATAGTTACATATATAGCAATACGTTCGCACACACATATAGGTGATCCCCCCGAAAAAACACAAAAAAACATGCTTTATACTATCTATTTAACAGTCATTCGTTATTGCCTTTGTAAAAGATGAAAGAGTAACTTGTTTAATCTATATAAATATAATAGTATTGTCTGTTGTATGTCCATGTAACTTAACTACTTCGCAGGGTGTGGATGGATCTTCACCAAAATTGGTATGAATGTTCATTATGTCCATGTGGGGGTACATACAATTTTTTTTTGTTGTTTTGCACAAGTTTTGCAATTTTCGATTTTTATGGGCGTTTTTGCGTTTTTACCACTACTTCACCCCCTCTAAATGGATCTCCACCAAATTTGGTATGGTGGTTCATTGGATCCATCGGGATATACATACAAATTTTCAGTTTTGCATTTTGCGTTTTTTATGGGTGTTTTTTACCTCTACTTTTTTTGCAAATTTTGCATGAAGGTTGTTGTTTCCATGCGAAGATAGATGTAAACTTGTGGTTTCACATTTTGTGTTTTGCAGTTTTTATAGGCGTTTTTGCGTATTTTACAATTACATGTAAGGGAAGCAACTTTTCATGTCGTGAGATAACCTTTCATTAATTATAAATTCACATAACTTCCGTCCAGGGGACAGGTACTCCAGGTAGTAATGAATATAGCCTGAGAAGACGTGACAATAATGTGCTTTCAGACTAGTGATCTTCTAAGCGTTTTTGTTATTAAAAACAAATTTCCGGTCTAGTTGATGGCTCATTTCAGAAAATGGTGCGAGCTTTATATATTCAAGGTAGGTTTAAAGATGATTCTTCACTTGACGCAATAGGGATGACATATTTTCTCCTAACTACCTCAAGTAGATAAGGATCGCTATACCATTCCAAGTTAACTTTTTTTTTTGTACTGTGTTGCTGTTTTTATTTTCTTTTTAATTTGTATTTTCAACCTGAATGTCACATTTTGCAACACACAGGCGAAACGGCGTAGTCAGAGACCCCAAAATTCAGATTTATCTGAACAGGAGATGGGAAACAATCAATCAGCAACATCCACCGCCTACAGGGATAGTCTTAACCAAATAGTGGGATTTACTGTCACATTTATAACGTCCTCACATCTAAAAGCCCAGATCGTGTTCACTATATATTCAAGCTCAAACCTTTGACCTTTTGGTACTCAGACCGGCAAATTAGCCAACAGATCACGCTTTAACGTTTTAAATTGTGCAGTTTGATGTTGTAAGAATCATGAAATAATGAGTAAAATTACACAAAGAGTTTTTGACTTTCATAAAAGGCATTTCACATCACAATTCAATTTACATAGATGGCTTCTTTCCATGTATTTCTTAATTTGAGAGACCCCTCTCCCAGTGGCTCAGTGGTACGTCTCAAGACTTATAACACTAAAAATCAGGTTTCGATACCCGTGGTTGGCACATCACAAATAGCCCGTTATGTAGCTCTGTGCTTAACAACAAACATTCTTAATTTGAAAAATTTGTCGTGACTTTTTATTTGTTTTTCAAATTACAGTTCTCTTAGCATAACGTGACATTTTCCACTGGTACCCTTTAATGATACACAAGTTCTAGCAACTAAATATGCTTTTAAATATTGTAATTAAAATAAAAATATCCATCTTAAATCACTAAATGATACAAGATAATAGTGCGCATGTAAATACATTTTGCGTCAGTCAGCTGATTTGCTGTACATGAACTATTTTAATTTTGTCTTTCTTGTACTGTCATTAAAGGAATACTACTGTCAGGATGGTAGTGCCATAAAGAAGATATGAAATGTAGAGCCAAATGTTTTTCTTTATACAATATCAGTTCCTCCACTTCACTAACAAACCACTACTTGTTAGTAACATTTCTCCCTACGTTTTAATGGCAGGTACGGAGCTAATTAGAAAAAAAGAAAAAACTTATAGGTGTTATAGCCAAAGCTAATAAGTATTAATGACATAATCAAAGCTCTGTACTAATTTTCTTTATCAGATGACTTGAATGATGTGAAGGCCCATCTGAATGATGCCAATCGCAGGATTCACGAGATGGATCTGGAGATTAAACGTCTGGAGAGCGAGAGGGAGGAGCTAAGTGCTGCCTACAAGGAGGCAGAGACTCTGAGGAAACAAGAAGAGGCTAGGGCTCAACGACTGTCCGCAGAAATGACCCAGCTTAAGTATGACTTCGAAAAGAGATTGGCTCTGAAGGAAGAAGAAATGGAAGCATTGCGGTAGGTTTTTCTCTATGTACAGTTGCTATATGCTATAAGAGTGTCTAATAAAAGAGTTATTTCAACAGTTTCATGAATTTTAGTTCAATTTCCATTTAATATGAAATATGTTCACACATCTTCAGTAAAACTATATGTCAGGTCTTCGACTATAAAATCTAACAGTAGTCCTATTATAAAAAGGTTTTTACAAATTTTACGTGTATATACATATATATCAATTATAAATGTTTGATGTTACGTGTTTTTGTTCTTAAAGCAGTTTAAGTGAAAAATAGAGGGATGCTTAATTAAAGTACGTGTTTCCTTAAAAATAAAATAACATGGACGAAACGTAATAAAAACAAAAGTAATTTTCTGTGCAGCTAGAATATGTTCACTAGCCTTGTGTGCAGTGAAAAGGTCATCGGGTGTCATAAGATTCAATTATGGAAAGCAACTGATGCTGATGTTTAGTGCTAATTAGCTATGATGGGCAAACAGGATAGAGGGTGCATCAGCAAATCTAACAAAGGGTCCTAAACTGTTTCTAACTTTCAGGTGCCAAAGATACTTTTAAACTGTGGTTATGGTATAAGAGTGACAGTCAATCCACTAGCTGGATGATGAGTGGTAGGGTGCTGCTGACTGGCTACCTTCCCTTTGGTCAGTAGTTCGAAATTAGGGACGGCGGCAGATAGCCTTGGTAGCTTCGAAATAAATGCAGATAAATTTTTATATAACATGCAATGATGATTATAAATTTAAAAAGGGTACACTTTCATATAGCGGGTGGAGAACGTTTACCTGGTGGGCCAGTCTGCCCCTATTACTGTATTCTTAATTACATCCGTCGCTCCGGTAAAGGTAATGAAGGTTTTTGAATTATAACTGTAATACAGAACTTAAAGTTTTATATAGAGCAGTTATTTTAATAAAACCGTCCATCTTAACTGCATATATCCTAATAAGTTTTCAAAAGCCGATATTATCGGTATTTAAGCCTTAAAAAGGATTCCAGCTAAACTCAATCATTAATAAAATGAAAAAGTAATATTGGTGACAGTAAAGTTCAAAAATTTAAAACTAAAAATACCAACCTTCTGCCTTCTAGTAAACAGAAGGAGATTGAAATTGAGCACCTCAGTATGAGGCTTGCTGAAGCTGAGGCTAAACTAAAGACAGAGGTCGCTCGTCTCAAAAAGAAGTACCAAGTACAGATCACCGAACTGGAAATGTCTCTTGATGCTGCCAATAAACAAATGTTGGATCTTCAGAAAACCATCAAAAAACAATCAATGCAGATCATGGTATGTAAACATTCATTAGGCAGTGGTAAAACATTTGAAATAACTCCCATGAAATCATACCCAATCTGATATATTTACAACACTATACATCGTTTGCTTCTAGCTTTAAAAAACGTGTGGAGCAAGTGTAAGAAAAACTGGTGAGCTAATCAGGCGAGAAAGGTTTTAGCTAAAAAAAACATTCAAAGTGGAGTTGCACGAGCCCCTTCTGCCTCCCTGGTTAGGTGCCTATGTTATATAAAGCAGAAGTGACATCTATGTTTCTATGTGTGTGCTTTTCCTGCCTATAGATTTTTACTGATCTAACCCAAATTGCCATGAACCCTAAGGTCCCCCAGAAGCGTCATGAGGGGCTCAGCCTTGTTTTCTTACCTCTATGCCATCCCCTGGAGTCCCTATGTGTCTCCTGAGCTATTTTGTTTATCTCTATCAAACTTTAAAAACGTTCTTAAGCCACCCTAAAAAGTGATATAGGGGGATTGGTATTCGGATCTGACCCCATATCACTCGCTGGGGATCCCGTCTGTCTGTGTGCCCGTCTGTTTTTTCACTGTTTCAGTTTTTGAACGATCTCAACGAAACTTGGCAAGCACCTTTACCTCATCCTTCCGGGCAAAAGTGATATAGGAAGGTCGACATTTGGATATGCCCACCCCTCCTCCCTTATCACGCTACGTACGTCAGCTAGGTACCTATAAAACCGTTATAATCCTGTAAGAAAAAATGTGCTAGTTCGTTCAAACAACTTTTGATTACAATTTTGAAAGGTAATTTTTTCTTCCGTTTTTAGAGAAGTTTTAATAATTTTGTGTTTCGAAATTTTGACCTGGAGGTGTAGAATAACCGAATCAATAAATAGTTAAATACAACATTGTGATTAGAGGGGAAAATAATTGTGATTACGATATCATTAATGGTTATAGAGTGATCTGTATATTTATAAATGAGATAACCAAAATAAAAATAATATACATCAAAGTAAGTTTTAAAAAAGACAATAATAAAAAACACGATCAACGGAATGCTGTGATTATTCTCCAACACTATAAAGATATCACTAAGGAAACAAGTTAATTTGGGATTGGTTCGGTATGGCCAGGTGGTTAGGGCGCTCGACTCGCAATCTGCGGATCGCGAGTTCGAATCCCTCTACCCCCAAACGTGGTCGCCATTTCAGGAGTGGGGGCGTCATAATGTCTTTCACTGCTACATCGGGTGGCAAATATACTTTTAAGCTGTAGTTATGTTATAAGAGTGATAGTCAATCCAGTGGCTGAAACATGGGAATAAAATCAACAATTCGTCAAAATCTACGCCATATATCAAATCTGAATAAAAACCGTAATACAGTATCCACCCTAAGAGTTACATTTGGTATTACCAGAATGATTACAGTACGTATCTCTTTATTGTGATTTTGTTACTGTAATTGTATACCATGGAAGTTTCGCTGACACAGTGTATACCAGAAGACATACACCACTATATCATAATCTAGCCAAACGTTTTAGCACAGTACAGATGCACTCACTTTTTAACGCAGACTATATCTTTTTAGTATCTCATAGTTATGGCACGTGCGTCTACTTAAAAAGTTTGATTATCCAATAGGAACTCCAGTCTCATTATGACGAAACCCATCGTCAGCTTCAACAAACCGTCGACCAGCTAGGAATTGCTCAGAGGCGCTGTCAAGGTCTGCAATCTGAACTGGACGAGATAAGAGTGACTCTAGAGTCTGTGAGTGTTCTCTTCTTTAGAAAAAAGAATACTTTTTTTTATTTATCATAAATAAAATTTCAAAACATTTTTATCTGAAGTAACATTGCTCAGTTAGTTACGTGCAACTTTTGTCAGGAGGCGGACGATTATAGAATCGTGCTAGTCACAGTTTTTTAGAAATAACGGTACAATCTGACAATCATCAACGTTCATGCATTGAACCTTCTTCGTTCGTGATGAATCCTTGTTCATAAAGCTATTGTTTTTCGTGTTTAAATTTCTAAGAGTCACTTGTATTAACTCGATTTTCATATAACAAGAAATAAGCTAACTTAGTCAGCATTTTAGACATGCATAAAAATGCTTATTATCTATAGCTATAATGTTTCTGTCTATTACATTTTCAAGCTATCTAGTTTTTATTTTTTATTTTTATCTATAGGAAATCCGGACGAAGAAGTCATTGGAGCAATCTCTGGAAGAATCCCATACTCGCATTAACGAGCTAACCACTATTAACGCGAACATCACCTCCGCAAAATCTAAGTTGGAAACCGAACTAACTGCCCTACAGGGTGATTACGACTCAATACATAAGGACTTGCGGGTAAGTTTTGTGCTTAAGTTTTTCTGTTAATTTCAGTTAAACGTAGTACAAGAAGAGCGTGAATGCAAGGTATCAACCGGCCCTTTGTTAACTCCCGTATAGTGTTGTGAGGACAAAGCTGAAAATGCTCTAATCCCCCCACCCCATGATCTAACACAGTGATTTCTTTGAATGTTTCCAAAGAACTCAAACGGTGCAAACTCCATTCCAGCTGCAGAATCTTCCAGCTGCAGTTTAGAGGTAGAATTTGTAATTTATTATCATCAGTTTTATCATTTGTAAACGCCTATATTTTGCTCTAATAAAATAATCATTATGTTCTTTTCTCATTAAGAAACGGTAACTTGTTTGTATAGGCAAGCTTCAGACCGGTAAGATCTAAGAAAAAGCAAGACCATAATCGATTGCCCTTATAGAATTTACTTTCAGATGATTATTTTATTATAAAATGTCTCGTTATCGTATCGGTGTTTTTGTCTTGTTTTTCTTGCATGGTTTTATAAACGTAGTTTATTTTAAAAGGTTTGAACAAGAGACAACATCAATCACAAAAAAGTAACTTAAATCCTGAAACGTGAACTTTCTTTTAAGGAGATGAACGTGGCCTAGTAGCTAACGTGTTGAGCCTAAGATTCTTTCCCTCAAGCTGTGGGTGCGTGATAAAAGTTACAGTCAATCCAGTTATTTGCTATTTGGTTAAGAGTAACCGTATAGATGGCGGGTGCTGCTGACTGGCTGCCATCAGCAAAACTGGTCTTAGCGGCAGTGCCGTTTTAACAAGTATGGGACTTCGGGACCCAGACTCATTTCTGTGGCAACCTCCTAAGATTGCATATAGAAGACCATACATGCAAGAAACACCATCTAACTAAAACAACTGGAACACAATATGCTGAGCTTCAACAACTTTTCACCACAAATACTAGAGCATTGGATATCTTAAACCTCTACACCAAACACTATACATCCAACCTAGAAAATACCAAGAAGAAACAAGTTCAAAAATTCAACAGACTTACCAAGACAGATAATTCTACGACTAGAAACATAGCTCACAATTACAGTTCGAGATTACTAAGTGATACAGAAAATAAGGTTCTCAACCTAGGTCTAAACTTCGCCATACAACCTAGCACAGTTCCAACTGTTGACATAGTTGCAGCCTTAGAATCTGCTGCACAAAACCTCCGAAACCTATGACTGAAGAATTCCAACATCAAACTTACACCACTCTCAGGAATGCCAAGAAACCAAAACCGAACATCACTAAACAAGAATGCAGTGCACTGAACTTTCTAAAACGAGATAACAATATCAAGATCCTACCAGCAGACAAAGGAAACAGTATAGTCATCCTAGACGTTAAAGATAATGACGAAGGTCAAGCAGTTACTAGACAAACACCAATATAAAAAGATCACCAATGACCTTACAGAAAAGACTGAGAGACTCATCAACAGAACACTGAACAAACTTAAGAAACGAAACTTAATCAACGAGAAGCTAGCCAAAGACTTATGAACCAACGAAAACTTCCCTCCTCAGTTCTACGGACTACCTAAGGTACACAAACCCAACATACTTTTAAGGCCTATCGTAAGTACTACAAACTCACCTTGCCATCAACTAGCTACCTTCCTAGTACCTATCTTATCTCCACTACGTGGAAACACCGAACATCACATTCAAAATTCGACAGATTTCATAGAACAACTCAGAAAGCTACACATCAGATCCCAGGATATTCTGGTCAGTTTTGACGTCACAGACCTATTTACCAATGTTCCAACCTCAGAAACCCTTCAGATCACCAGACAACGACTGTTGAATGACAACTCTCTACCACACAGAACTGACATGAAGATAGACGCTATCATTGGACTAACGACTATTTCGTACAATCAACTTCCAATACAACGAAGAATTCTACGAACAAACAGATGGTCTAGCCATGGGATCACCACTCTCTCCAATCCTAGCAGACATTTTCATGGAAGACTTTGAAGAAAGAGCCCTTTCATCCACACATATAAATCCAAGTTTCTACAGATGTTGTTTTGACGACACCTTCGTTATTTGGCCCCACGGTCATGAAAACTTACCAGCCTTTTTAGAACATCTTGATTCCGTAGACAAAAGAATCCACTTCACCATGGAAATAGAGGAACAAAACAGCCTACCGTTTCTTGATATACTCGTCAGCAGACAAGAGAGAAAAATCACCACAACTGTATACAGAAAACCCACCCACACTGACTTACAACGCTAGAATCCGGGTTTCGATACCCATGGTGGGCAGAGCACAGATAGCCCATTGTGTAGCTTTGTGCTTAATTACAAACAAAGCTGAAATAATGAAATATGTTGGGTCAACATCTGTTCCCAACACTTGAAACTTATCTCGAATAAATGAATATTGGACGCTTGTTCTAAAACTTTGAAACCCACGTTAAAGCAATAGAAAATGCTACGCCTGAAATTGAAAAAGTTAATTAATTCATATTGATTTTCTTTATTATTCTACATTTGTATATCCAAAATTATTTTATAATATTTTGAGCCTGAAGTGACTGTAATCACAAAAACAACTTATTTCCTGTAAAATGACATATTTACTTGAACTTTTAAAGCCTGTAAGCGAAGTTACTCAAAAACTTTTAAATGTGTAATTTTGACAAAAAACTAAAGCAGTTAAAAACGCATTTACATAACTGATGCTGTTTCACATTTGAAGTATAGCCTAGTTGATATTAAATAGATGATTCAACTAAAACGTTGGCTTCAGACAAAAAGTAAAAATGCTATAAACTATACTTAAAGAATTGCTATAGAATTAAAAAAAGTTCACTCTGTTTTATGCCCAGACTGTAAATCCAAAGAACTACAGTTCGCTCCTCATTGCCGTAAAATCACGCTCCGTTCTTTGGGGCCGTGGGTGTTTGGTTTGTTCAGCTTCATAATGTCTCAAACTTTATCTTTGAGCTCCCGGAAACGTTATAAGAGTGACAGTAACATCCACCTATTCGTTAAGACAAGAGTTGGCAGTGGGTACTGTTAATTGGCTGCATTTTATTTAATCTATCGGTTCAAAAGCCGGCATGGGTATGCGCAGATAGCCCTAATGTAGCCTTGCGCGAAAACGTAAAAACAAACCTTTTGTTGAACCTTTCCCGCCCAATGGCGGGCTTATAACGTGGTGGGCAGAGCACAGGTAGCCCGTTGTGTAGCTTTGCGCTTAACTACAAACAAATAAGCTCCCCCCCTAAAAAAATTAACAGTCCGGTTTCGTTCATTTAAATTAATGTTATTAGTTTTGTAGAAGCTTTTTAAATCTTGATGCAACACAATATTTGTACAAAATAATGATACATTTAATATTTTTAAAGAAATAATCTCGTTCGCAATTTGCTACAATATTTCATGTCACTATGTCATTTTCTTAACGGCACAAATGTGCTATGGTAAGTGGTGTGTCAATCACTTAGCTCAAAAAATGCCAACTGAACTATTAAGAGATTAAAATTACTATGTCTTGAAAGCTTTGATAAAGAAAATAACCCCCTTCATAACTTGGTTATTAATAAAAACTCATACAATAATCCATCATTTTGATTTGCAGGCCGCCGACGATCGTGCTAACCGGACCATCACTGAACTGAAGGTGACCAAGGAGCGCCTGGTGGAACAACATGAAAGATATGTCAAAATTGAAAATATCAAAAAGTCCCTGGAAATTGAAGTTCGCAACTATCAGATTCGAATAGAAGAAGTGGAAGCTAATGCTTTAGCCGGGGGAAAACGAGTTATTGCCAAATTAGAGACTAGGGTACGTATTCTGTTTGTTTAAAAAATCTAGCTAAACTTTCCCGAAGGAGATACTCTCAAAAATAAATATCATTCTTACAAAATTCCCATCAATGGCGTTTTGCCTTATTCAGGGTGTTCCAAAAACCACTTATACAAGGTAGAAAATAGAACCTCAACTTTTAAAAGTAAATATTATTTTTAAAGTAACTTTCAACAGTTTCGTACTTATATAAAGTGTTTTAAAAACTACTTATTGCAGGAAGAATAACAAAAGTCTGAAATAGCTGGGATACTTTTCGAAGTATACAGTTATGTAGTCCATATGATTACATTAGTAGTCCATATGATTACATTATTTGTACTTTTCAATAGTTTCTAATTTACAGTAACTCACAATTTTCACGACAACTTTAAGGGAACCTCCAGTATTCAACAAAACAGTAACCAGAGTAATGTGAATGATAAACTGTTTAATTTTGATGAATGCATTCCACGATATTGCTCAGTTGTTATCAACTCTAGATATTAATCAGTATTTACATCTATTATATTTTGATTCATTTTCCGTTTTGAGATCCAAAGAAAATTCCTAAGCCAGTTGCATCTGTGATTTACGAACAATCTTTTTTTTCCATTAAAAAAAATATTACTAAGGTCACTTTATATGGTTATATTTCTTTTAATACACAATATATGAATAAATTTAGTCTTAATTTCTTAAAAATCATTCTTATACTCTATGATAAAAATCAAATTAGACTGCACATGTTTTTGTTCTTTCAAAAATTAATGCCTTATGAATTTCAAATCAAAGGTGTATAAAAATAACATTCATGATATATTCTTTGAATTCCAACATTACTGCTCTGGAGGCCTTTGATTCTAAATCCGTAATGGACTACTCAAAAGGAGGATTGTGAAAATAAACACATCAGTAGCAGTCCACTCGCGTGCTAATCAACAATCTTGAATCCCAGATTCTATAATTCTATTCCAATGCTAGTCCAAACAATAATACGAGTACTAGACGAATAGTACTTTGTCTCTTAAAAATGCGAACAAAGTGAGCCTGATAAAACGTGACAGCGAGCAGTGTTGAATTCAGGGGTATACGGCGGGATTTTCCCCCTGAAATATTTTAACTATTTTGTCTTTTTTACAGACGTTTTAATTCATTCTCCCCCAGTTTCACATTCCCCCACCTCTCGGTTGAAAGATCTGGATTCAACACTGACCGCGAGTCGTCAGTTGGACAGCCCTGTTATAAATTATTCCTTATTGTATATAGGTAATTTTAAGACCTACACGTTTATGGCATACGTTTATAGAAATATCCATAAGTATTTTGATAAAAATAGATATATAATTTAGAACAATGGTTGAGTCTCGTATCTTATTCTTGATGAGAAGTATCTTACAGTCTGACTTTGAATTAATTCAAAAAAATACTCTCATGACGTACTTCCTGAAAAATAAAAATGTATGCCAAAAAACTCTGTCAAGTATCTGGCACTCAGGATTTTTCATCCTTATTCACCTCGTATACTCATCATCAAATAATTAGATTTTTGGAAAGAAAACATAGCATACTTAACAGATTTACTATAAATAATACGATTATTGTTTACAAATGTAGTGACACATACAACGAACAGTCAAACCCCTGATTTAGACCTTCTCTATAACATTATAATGCAAATAACAGAGACAGTACGCCCGTGTCCAGGGTATAATATATGGAAACATAAGCGCCAACTTTTGCTTTTCCAGAAGAGGGCCGAGATCAGAGTTACAGCTTGGCCTTCTAATTCCGGAATACTTTGAATGACAGTTTTTCTTTTGTTTTTTACTTTGCTCCCAAATCGAAATTAATTTATGAGTAACCATAGCAACAACTGAGGCAGCGTTTTTAAGCACGTATCGTTGATCTTACTTCACCAAATACATATTAGAAGAAAAAAATAATATAGGTATTGCACTTTTTCTCTGGAGCTGGGTACCGCAAACCCTTTCTCGGGGGGGGAGTGAGGTGCAGAGTCTTGTGGCCCCGCATACTCGGCACCCATGAGTGTGCGTTCTTTTCCCAAAATCAAGTGACTGTTTTGCTTATGTTAGCAATAAATCGTAAGTCACTAACGTGGTTTAATGAGAGTGCATAGGATTATATTAACTTATAAGAAGACAGAAACATCAAACTAATTCAGATGGTAGATCCTAGGTACCAAGTTTCGAAAAACAATCATTTTTGGTGTTATTATTAGTTCACTAGAACATGTCTTCAAACTACTACAGCATTTTCAGTATTAAGGAAGTGACATTATTACTATTAATAAACATATTCTGATTATACATCAGTCTGAGAAAGTGGCCAAATTGGATAACCATTCTTAGCCGTAGGGAGTTCGATTGAACTCCACACACACACCTAATTATGGGACTTCTTTGTAGTCTAAACCCTTCAGAAAGTTCACGCTTCACCTATTGATGTGACGAGTATTTTATACTTATATAGCTTTATATTGTAGTTCTTAAGCTATTCCGCACTGCGTACACCTATGGGGTTATAACGCTAAAAATCTTGTTTCGATAGCACATAGCACAAACCTGCCCATTGTTTAGCTTTGTGGTTAACAACACACGAAAGTTGATATTACTTCTAATATTTTTCCGTTGTTTTTCCATTTCTCATTCACTTGCATCTTTCCCTGCTAAAAAAAAATAAATCAATAATGTTTTATCATTGGCATACAGTAAAGAAAATACAAAAAAAAATATTACTAGGGCCCTATATACATAAGTTCCTAAACCTACGACTTGCAAAAGTCAATAAAATTATCTTCGCACATGAGTTAACGGATTTAATTTAAAATCCTTTAAAAAGTTTTACCAAGAAGTAAAAATAATGACAAGTTGGATGCGAACCTGCTTCTTTAAGTACTGTTATTCTTGGGTCTCTATTCATTGATGAAGAAGGACTAACTGATGAAGCTTCTTTTTTGTAGCTATTTTTCACTTCTTTGGAAAATCTAACATTAGGGAACAGTCATAAGGTGTCTAAACATTAGTTCTTGCCTGACCAGTCTTATTCAAGAGGATAGCCAACTGTTCGAGAGCGCTCGAGTTCTGAGTCTTTTTTTTTAAATTCATTGCACCTTTTGTGTCTGAATCTATGTGCTAACTCTTTTACCAGAACACTTGCCTGGTCGTCGTTCTTTGATTGAAGGAGTTAACCCATTAGTATTTTTACACGATATTTTGCTTTAACACGTGCTTTGTAAATCAGTAAGTGCTATACTTTACATATAATTTAAGTAACGTATCATTTAGCATTAGAATTATAAATAAATTGACATATGCACAGAACGTTCTAACAATTCCCTTTGAAAAATATTTCTGCACAATACATAGTTGCATTAAACCACGACAACAGCGCAAAAAAAAAACGTTACTTAAACATGTGTGAATAGTGCTTAACGTGTTGGTCTGCGGATCTAAGGTCCAATGTTCGAGACATGGGTGGCAGTCAATCTCATTATTCAATTCAAAAGATGGACAAAATCCTTATCACAGCGGATGCTTCTGGCTGGTTGCCATCCTTCTGGTCATTGGTTTTAAACTAGGGACAGCCACATCTGAACCCTAGGTGTTTCTGACTTAGCCTTTTAATCCACATGCTTATAAAGTTCTGTCTATATTAAAAAATTCATTCCCCTTTGCTCACTTTTTCCCATTACATTTAACAAACATGTAAACAAAGATCTTACTATTTAAAAGCCAAATCCCTCTATAATTATTAACATTATTTACCTATTCTTTCTTGTGCAATGGACATGTAGTTCTTTGCTATACCCAGTATCCAACTAAATTATGAGCGAATTATGAATTTTTTTATCATAGATTCGTGATGTGGAAATTGAGCTGGAAGAAGAGAAGCGTAGACATATTGAAACCCAAAAGATCCTGCGCAAAAAGGAATACCGCTTGAAGGAGATCCTGCTACAAACAGAAGAGGACCACAGAAACCTCATTTTAATGAACGAAGCTTTAGATAAAGTCAACGAGCAGTGCAAGATGTATAAACGCCAGCTTGCTGAACAGGTAAGGGTATCTGTTCGCTATTGTCTTTTCTTTTGAAAGATGCTTACTCCTGAGGAAGGCAAATTCTTCATATGTTTTAGGTATAGGAAAATTTTCACCCATACAAGTTGCAGTCACATTATCAAGCTTAGTAAATTATCCGATTTAAAAACAGAAGAGAAAAAAATAGCTTTACTGATAGCATACATTTCATGCCATAATGGCCTTCCAGCGACTCACTGATAAGCTTGAGGGTTTATAACGCTAAGTTCGAAGTTCTATTCTCGCAGTGTACTCTGCGCAGATAATCCATTGTTCAGCTTTAAGCAAAATACAACAAAATAATTAATCACCCAGGTAGACCTTCCCTATTCTACATTCTTGTTAACTTAGATAGAAAACTGACTCGAGTACATCATCCTTCTCTGTATAGTAATATTAGTGAAGTGTAGTTATAACGTACTACCTGTTATTTTACTTGTTTTTAAGTATATAGTAATATATATATATATATATATATATTTATCAAAATCCTTACCTGTTTGATGATGTTTTATTCATTCTTTGCAGGAAGGAATGAGTCAACAGAACCTCACTCGCGTACGTCGTTTCCAGCGTGAGCTCGAAGCCGCCGAGGAGCGCGCTGACCAGGCTGAGAACAATCTTTCTTTTATCCGTGCAAAGCATCGCTCATGGGTAACAACCAGCCAGGTCCCTGGTGGAATGAAACAAGTGTTTATATCGGAAGAACAAACCTCAACCCGATACTAAATTGTCGAGAAGTAGCGAAAATTCCATCTGTCGAAATTACGTCATTTTATACGCATGCGCATAAAATGTAAGAAAAACAGAATATCTGAGAGATACAATTACCCTAAGTGTGAATTCATGCATGTTTTCCTATTTGAATTATTTAAATCTAGCTATTTTATTCCTTTTTTAAATGTAAATGTCTGTGATTTGGATAAATAACCCAGCAGAACCTGCAGGTTTTTGCTTGTGTTAAGAAATAAAGATTTTAGCTTCTTAGATTTGTTGCATTGGCAAGTGACTTTGTACCATTGTTAAGATATTTATGTACCTATTTTGTTGTTTTGTTTTGTTTAATTTTATTCTTATTTTCTTTGTTCAACTATGCTCAATATCTTTATTACTGTGAGTGATATCTTACGGGAACACGTTATTCTGTATGTATTCTGAGCAGCAGTACTTGAAATGGTCTAAACTTTGAGGAAGCGGTCTCAGTGATTCTTTTTACTCCTGATTGGCTATCTGTAGTATTTAAAATTGTATTCATGCCATATAATGAAAACAAGGTATTTATTTACTGAATTGATGCTCTGTAATGTGGACATAGGTAAATAGTAGAAAATATTCAACTGAAAATAAAAGTTGATATTTATTAATTGGGTGCTTTGGCTTGTCGCCCTCTTTGAGATGTTACGTACATTATGAGCCCATACTGAGGTGGGCTTTATCTATTTTTGTAGCTTAGTATTTTCAAAAATGATGGCAAAACAGATGAGTCGCTGACGTGCCTTTTATTTTCTTTAGGATTACTAAAAAAAAAGACTTTATTATGAGTAGCTTTATCTTGAAAATAAACCATCTATCATTTTGATGTGTTTTATCAATTTACACGTCATTAAATTGGGTGTCTTACTTGGAAATTGTGTATGTCCCCGAAATTTTTAACTTTACGCATAAATATCAAAATATATTCATCACAACGATAATTCCTTCTAGATATCCAATTTGAATTTTTATTAGACCTATAAGAAATAAAAGTCCTCATTTCAAATGTTGGCTGTCTTGAAGGTTTGCTTACGAAATTATCTGAAAACAGTAATTCGTATCATATGCATTGTATTAAAAGTGAGACGTTATCACTCAATTATTTACGGTTGTAGAAAATACAATAGACATTTGATGTATTTATAATACATTCAACTTCAGTTTTATTTATTTTTTTTAATACCGGTAACTAACAATCTGTAGCCCGGCATGGCCAGGTGGTTAAGGCGCTCGACTCGCAATCTGAGGGTCGCGGGTTC